CCGGTGGCTCACCTGGTAGAGCGCGAACCATGAAGGCGAAGTCCTAAGTGCAGGGACCCAGGTTCAAGTCCAATCTGTGGCCCTTTGCTGTATATCGTCCTGTCTGTCTGACTTTCCTGTCTCTCTCTCCCCGTCGCTCCCTATCGGAATAAAGGCAAAAAATTACTTTAAGAAAACAAACCAGCCAGGTTCGTCACTTTTTAGTGTCCCCTGGAAACACTTCCGCTGTGTTGTGAGTATTTGCAGCTCACGTGTCGTCAATGTGATGAAGATGTTCTCTGAGTTTGTTTGTGTTTTGTCTGTGTGCATGTGTTTTCTTAAGCTGTGATGCTTTGAGCTCTCAGGGCCACCGTAGTTTTCCCACATTATTTGATTGAATGTTAAATCGGCCTCTTTCCCAGCAGATATTTTGTCTTTTAGCAGTAAAAGTGCAGGTGCAACCAGCGTGCAAAACACAACACATTCAGCCTGGATTAATGATGCTAATTGCTCATGTGTTGTGAAAATCCTGTTTCCTGAGATGTCAAAAAAAAACAATCTATAATGATTAAACATGAAGATTATTTTAGTGCTTTGCCTGTCAGCCATTTTCAACCTTCCCAACCCACGACCAGAGTCCGATTCACAACACGCAGTCTGTCGCCTCACACACCCTTAAAATGCAGTGAAGAAGAAACTCACAGAAAGTCACACTCTGCTGCCAGAGCTCTGAGCACAGACCCAATGAAAGACTGCAGTGTTAGTGGGAGGGAGGGCGGCCATTCGGGCCTTGACTGGGCCTACAGTCACCCGTGGTCGTCCCAGTCGAGCAGGTACCAGGGAGCGGACTGGACTCACTGAGCTACTTTGTCCCTGTTCCAGGCCTGGAAGGCTCACCTCATGGGCAGGGAGGGCTGTAAACAAAACTCACGCAGGACTGCGGTGTCCCAGAGAACCCAGCCAGCACAAGGTAAAGCATTCATACACCCTCCGCTCACACCCACCTCCCCAACGCTTAGTGTGAGAGCTATAGAAAGTGCCTATGCTCGTTGGCGAGATTTTATGTTGCAGCTTTTCCACTATGGTTTCCTGCCTCAGAGCACAGATGGAGGCATGTGCTGTAATAATAGTGGCAGATTTAATTCGGAGGCTGATGTAGTGGGAGTTTGTGTGTGACGTTTCACAATGATGGTGGTTGTAAGTTGACTGTTAATAACTGAACCAGCTGCTAATTATTTCATATTTATACTTGAGTATAAATATAATATAAATGGAGTATTGTACAGAGTGACATTAAGTCGAGCGTCTGTTTTCCGTTCGTTCAGCCATCTTGTTCTAACAGAACGCAGTTATTAGTTTACTGTAGTACATATTGAAAGGAAGCCATGTGATGTGACCTCACTGTACATCAGTAGAGATAACCTCTCCTCGCCACGAGCTTCTGACATCACGAAACCTTCCCCTTTATACACGCATCACAGGGCATGCAGGCGGCTTTGTTTAGCGGTAAACAACACATGAAAACACAGGTTTCATCAGTGTTAAAGGTGTGTGTGTGTGTGTGTGTGTGTGTGTGTGTGTGTGTGTGTGTGTGTGTGTGTGTGTGTGTGTGTGTGTGTGTGTGTCCAGGCAGGGCTGTCGGAGGAGCTAAGCTGAAGCAGGCCTGGTCGGTGGGGGCCAGGAGCAGACCTCTTGGCAGAGGTAGCCGGATCCCAGCCCTGGCCCCCCTGGCCAGAGGACATACACCAGGGAAGCGCTGAACCAGGTTCACAGCACCTCGGGAGGGGGGCGGGGACATCCCTGCAGTAACCCCACCACCACACTTCCACATGTCCTGCTCCCATGTTCCTGCATACAGACACTGGTAGAGAACACACATGATCGGTCTCACGTGTTTTCACTGACGTATACAACAGGATTTTAAAGGTCAGCAAAGATTTGTGTTTGAAACCTTTTTTTTTATTTAAAAAAAAATTAACCAAAAAGGGAAAACACCTGTCTCATTAGCTCACGTACAAACTGACCACGTGGTTTTGTATTCACTTATTTACACACTGTAGATTTACTATATTTACACAGTCAGAGACGGAGACACACACACCTGCTGGGCTTGTGAATGTGATCGTACTGTGTGCTGTTCACTGACATCTCACAGAATATCTGGTCACTCACTGCCGTGTGGAGAGGGGGAACTGTGCAGCTTAAAGGGGTCGTCCACTGATTTAGTTTGGTGGGGGACTCAAAAGAGACAAAGGGTCAAATTAAAAGTGCAGCTTTTAAATGGGTCAACTAAACACTGGATCCTACATTTCCCATGATGCAACATCTTCTTGTCTGGGAAATACAAACTCCACGCCCTCAGTTTGCAACGCGGGCTTTAAATGTGTCATCCATACAAGCCCAAGCTGAGACAACCTCGATGTCATCATTATGACATCATCAGGGTTATTTTCTCAGGCTCCTCCAGAGTCACAGGAGACATGATGAAACTGTTTTCACTAGTAAACTAAACCTTCGTGTGTAAAATGTTATGGTCAATTTGCTCGATGAAAAGAAGAACATCCGTCACGCTGCTCTTCTGCTCAGCATCACAATTTATTGATCATACAAACCTTTCGGTCTCTCTCGACCTTCGTAAATCAATAAATTGTGAGAAAGAGCAGTGTGCCGGTTACTCTTCTTTGCAAGAGTAAAACTTTAAATGTTAAATTTTGTTGGTCAAAACATGTAGACCACAAATTCTCCAGAAATATCGAGGATGTATATAAAACTAAAACATACTCATGATCACAATGTGATGAGGTTCAGAGCTTCCCATCGACGACCAATGTTGTATCAATCAATTCTCCAATTAATCTGAATCTAATCAGGAGACTGTGACACTGACTGACACCTGGAAACACTCCTCTCCTCGTGGAAGCAGCGATGAGAGGAGTTTAGCTACAAGCAGAAGATGTTCCCTCCCTCTGTGGCTTCCCAGCATACACTGCTTCCACCCTAAAGCCATTAGCCACCTGTTTACATTTTTCTTTTCATTACTTGTCTTAAATAAATTATATATAGGAAGTAAAGTAGCACTTTGCCAAAGGGATGATGCGTCAGCGCTGAGTTTGTAGTTCAGAATGGACTTTATTTATTCTTCCTCTTTAAAGCCTGTTGACAATCTGGAGAAGATGGCACAGTTTTATATGCTGAACAAGTCCAGTGAGAGTGACGACGTAAATCTTTTGACTTAACAGAATTATTAAAACGGATAAAAAAGGAGCAGGATGGAGATGAATGTAGTTTATAGCAGAATTTGTGTAGCACCTATTTTTTCAAGCGTTTCAGTGGCTTTAAACTGATTTTAATCTCAAGGTTAAGAACTAAGACAGTTACATGCAATAATTATAGTTATTATTATTATTATTATTATCATAACTATAATTTTATTACTTCTATTGTACTACACAGTATTATGACAGTGTTGATTGTAAGATATGTGTGATTCATCTACAGCCAAAAAAACCCACATCTGTGAATCTGAACTAACAGAAACTTCTCTGTGTTTTTTTTATACACAAATTGTGATATTAATTTGGCAAATTCTCTAATAACTGTCTTATTAGTGGACAAACAACTAAACAATTTGGTTTCTAACTTCCCAATCCATCACATGGGCTTTAACATGCTTCCATACTGAGGTCTATCACAACAGTGGATGTTTCATTTTGTTTTTTATGTGCACAGTCTGTATTTTCTGAATAATTTTGGCATTAAATGACTATTTTTTCTGCAAAATGTATCTGTATTTGTTTAAATAAAGCTTCGTTAAGCTGAGGAGGTTTCCGATGGTCAGCAGCTCCAACAGCCTCTGTTCTAGAAACCAGGTGAAACTAACAGAATCCATCATGTGTTGACTTTACAGGCTGCAGGTCTCGAAGCAGTGATCTTACTCCAGCTGTTGACACACAGGTATGAATCAAAGGCTTCAACATTCACGTTGTAATTACAAAGTTGACAAAGATTCAGTTTTATTTACACTATCATACATGAATCTACAGTTTTACAGCCCTTTAGTTTCTTTGGTTTTTGGCCTGTCTCTGAAAAATCACACACAATTGAGTAACACTTAACACATAGAAAGTACTATGAAATAACAATATATTAACTTAACAAATTCATACCATTTGATCATTTTTACAATTTCAGTACTCTACAAAATAATCACTCAACTACGGACGATCCTGTCTGATCTCAGCTGTGAGTCTTTGAAATCCTGGAGTTAGAAAATGACAATAAAATCAACAAGTCAAGTCAAGTTTTTATGTAAATGCACAAAAACCATGACAACCATAAGAGCACCGGATCTCAGGTGAAGACGTGTGGACCGCACGAGACTCCGATCTGAAATGGCACCAAGAATCTGAAACCCAGAAACCTCCTCCCTTCAGCTCTTACACTGTGGAGCTGTGTGGTAGTGGTTTCACTAAATGGTAAATCAAGGTAGTGGAGAGGAAATCCAACCTGCTCGTAGTATACAGTTGAATTTAACATATAGAAAATTATATTTTTTTATTTATTTATCATATGTATTATTCATATTTAGCCCATACAGAAATGTAATATATGACATATATGTCCCTATATCAAGAGTGATGTGGCCATATATGTCTCCTATAAGGGGATATATTACTTACATGTATACATCCTCTTGATATACGAAGATGAAGTTTATGACATATGAAATTCCTATAGTAAAATTTCTATATATATACATATATTAAAAATATCTATATGTTGGATTTTTATATTGTAGAATATATTATATTATATCTCCCAATATGGATGCATTTACGTAACATGTCTAATTTCTAGTAGGTTTCATTTATAATTTTACATATATCTTTTTGTTTTACGTGTACATATATTTCATTTATGGAAAGTCAATATATGTACATATATTACATTTGTGTATGGGGTTGTTTGCTGGGTGATCACCCCCCTCCCCTCCCCTCCCTCAACTACATGTGAAATGTCAAACTATCATCATGATCAATACGTGATCAATACATGATCAACACAGACCGTATCAGTTCAGCTTTGGTCATTTCATAAAGACTACTAATATCATATGGAGGTCCTTTGCGCGCACACCAGCTCCTCGTTGTGCACCACGCTCCACATCCGGAGCAGCTCGTGCGCGCTGAGCTTGTGCACCACTATGAGGTTTTTGTAAAAGCAGGGCTCGCTGTTCATGGGGCTCACCCTGCGCCGGGTGATGCCGAAGGTCCTGAAGCCCGGGTGAAGCTCTGGGGCCAGGTGGAGCTTCTGTAGGCACATCCCCAGAAACACGTCGTCGATGGGGTACAACTCCAGGTCCTCCGAGACCACGAAGAGCCTCCTGGCCAGCGGGGAGGACATCAGAAACCCCCCGCCGCCCACGTAGGGGGGGTAAGGTTTATCGTACAGCTCTTTGGGGATGTAGTATTTGCTCTGGCGGTTTCGGATCGGGATCGCCTTGGAGATGGTGTCCCCCACAAACAACTCGGCGTACTTGCGCTCCTCCACTTTGAAGCCGATCAGCTCCAGCAGGTTGTGCGTGTTCACGAAAACATCATCGTCTCCCTTGAAGATGAAGCGGACCCCGGAGCAGTAGATGTCGAACCACTTGAGGAAGTTGACCTCCTTCAGGGTCAGGTTGAAGAAGGTGTCCATGAAGTCCCACTGCAGGATGTCCCCGTAGATCCGGTCCTCGTACTCGATCAGTTTCTGGAGGTTCTTAGTGTCTTTCCCGGTCGTCGGGCTTCCCAGAAGAAACAGCGTTTTGATTCTCTTCCCATCCACTGTGTGCTCCTTCCCCCAGGTTTTACGCACGGCCTCGCGCCGGTCATGCTGCTCAATGACGGACTTGACCACCATGAGGAGGTGCACCTCTCCGTCCGTGCATTTCTCCGGGTGGTTGATGAGCATGGGGAAGTACCTGCAGTGTCTGTGCAGCACGAACTGGTGAAATCTCGGGTCCAGGCGCCGGAACCAGTCCTGGCTCCTCACCGACGCGTCCTCGCTGCAGTTCAGAACCTGCGCATCCCAGGAAGCCGGAGTCCCGTTGGAAACCCGTTGCGCATCCAAATCGTTGTTGAGCACCGAAGAGTCCGAGCTCCCTAAACTGGTTTTCACGACCCCCTTCTTAAATGAAAAGCACTCGGAGCCGCACCAGCCGGGCTCCCTCGTGTGTTTACCCCCCACCCCGTCCTTCTCCGCCAGCTTCAGCTTGTGGATCATCAGAAAAGACGCAAAGACCAGAGACAGACTCAGCAGCGGCTTCAGCAGACCGACCCGCTTCCTCCGGAAAAAGTGATCCATGGCTCTCAGTGCGGCGCCCGGAGAGCTTCAGATGCTGCACCTTCTGCCTTCATAGTGTTTCACAACTGTGATGCGTCCTTGGGGAATCCACCGCCGCCGCGCCTTCTCATCTGGACACCAGAGGCTGCGTCCTCGGCTGCGTGAGCGCGCTGACACCGAAGTGGTCCCGGGGCCCCTTTTGCCCATGGTGGCGTTCAGTGAAGTCACACATGGAATTTCGGTGCGGGCAGACGATGCGGGATAGGCTGCATGTCCCCGGGCTGTTCCTACAGACTGATTGGAGATCTGCTGCAGGACACGTCTTTCTCACCCAAAAAAAAAAAAAAAAAAAAAAAAATCTCCTCCCCCTGATGAAACACACTGATCTGGGACCAGCAGGTTTCCCATTTCTCACACACTTATTTTCCACCACATTATTAAGACCCAACAGTTTGTTAAAACAATCAGGCTAGATGATTTGATCAGATATCAAATACAATTTAAAGATACAGAAATAAAATATTTAGAAATAAAGGAAACATTAAATATTGATTTTTATTAAAAGGGTTTAATGAAATATTACATATTGAATATGTCTATAAACGACTTATTCAGACTTACAAACAAAGGCAAATGCAACATATAAAACAAAAAGTGCACAGCAGAATATGCGTAATAAATAGGCTATAACACACACAGCCAACACCACAACTTATACATAAGAGCATTGTTTTCAAAGCCATAACAATCTGGAAAACATCGCGAAAAAGAGAGGAGTCTATATGCAAAATGTACATTTAGGCTATTGAATTTGACTAATACAAAATAAGATTAATACAAAAACATTAGCTGTTATTTAGCTTCATATAATCAAAGATATACCAACGAAAACATCTTTAAAGAAAAGATATAAATGATGTGAAGGCATAAACCAAAACTTCCCACTGTGGATACAGGACAAAAACAAGATTCACACAAATAATAATAAAATATTCCATGCTGATATGACATTACATCAGAAACAGTACAGTATCTTGTTGCGAAAGGGCTGTGATTTTCAACTTAAATCGATCTGCAGGTGGAACAAAGGAAAACTATATCATGAGTTTCTTAAATATCCTGAAGGAATGTCACCAAAAAAACAAAGGGAAATTAAAAAACTAATGCTCATTCAATAGAATATGAACAATAGTTCATATACAGCACAAACTAAAATAGAATCTAAAAGATAAGACTGTCACCACATGTTGTTCATATGCGTCCAGACCTTTTTATATAGCCAACAGTCCATGGTCCAGATAGCAGGTTTGGTGGCTTTAAAATGCGTCTGGCGCCATCTTGTGGATATTTCTTGGAATTACACCCCCCTAACCCCCCCCCCCCCCGCGCCCCTCCCTCCTCCTTTACCATCTCACATGAACGAATTAAACCCAAAATACACTCCTAACTTTAACTAAATGTACACCGGCACAAACAAACGCAATTTATTTTTTTTTATTTGAAAGTCCAACTGATCCTGATGAGCTAAACTAGCTGCACCAACTGTGAGCGGAAGTTGGCCTTCAAAATAAATCCATGGAAATTTTTACAAGGATTAACACCGGGATGCATAAAGTTTATTAAATGTAAAAAAAAATAGTTAATAGTTAAAATATTCAAGTAGAAATAATAAATTAAAAACACAATCTGACATTTAGCTGGGCGTTCCTACAGGCTAACCTCGATTATTTTGTTAAATTGTATTTTACATTTGAATACAGATACGTTAAAAGTTGCAATTAAATAATTTAACCATAGAAATAGCACCCACCACAAGCCAGGTACCGCTGTAAACACATCGGCAGTCACAGTATCTTCCTGTTTGGTGTTAGCTGGGATTGTGGTTAACGCTGCGGTTCGGGGGACGTCCTGGTGAACAGTCTGACCTATGAGTGAACCTCTCCGGCAGGAAATAAGCCGAGTCTCCCCCGGGCTGACAGACGGAGCTGAGCCAGCGACGACACTCGTCGTTAAATTACCACCACTGTTTATAGCTAGCTGTAATTTTTAAGCTAATAACGAATAAGGGAGTCGAAACTTTTAGTAACGGACTCGCCGTAAAACGGAAGCATTACGCCGGCAAATGATTCACAAGGTAAGTGTTTAGCTGAGCAAACTAACAGGCAGCTAGTAGTGAATTAGTTAGTGGTAGCTCGTAGCTGTTTTGCTAGCTTTACTAGCTTGTAGTTAGTTGATATGTCGTTTTAATGGTTTGCTAGCTTTAGCGAGCTAGCAAAGATTGTGACACTGTAACTACAACCAGAGATGAAGTAATTCTCCCGGCATATGACTTTTAGTTGTTTATGTTGTAAACGTCTCGTTTACAGTTGCAGCTTCTTTAACGACGCTGCGTGTGGATTTTTATTATTATTAATTAAGTTCGGCTACGTTGCTGGAGATGTGGTGTTGTTTAAACACTTGAAATGTGAGCTGTCGGTCATAAGCTTCAGTTCGGCATAGCTAAAAGGTTTTAATTTAACGTGAGTGGGATGAAGTTCAGGAGTTAATGGAGGTCTGGAGTGATGGCTGAGGAGTAACGTGACGTTTAATTTCCCAATATTTTGGGAGGAGTTTGGTCAGCGGAGGATACAGGGGCGTTGTTGGGATTTCAAACAGCTTAGTGGGCCCTTAAATAGGTTTAATATATATATATATATATATAAGTATCAGGGTAGAATGTGTTGACAGAAACATTGGTTTATGTATTTTTATTTTCTTTCTCTCTCTGGTTGGTTCTGGTCTCGTTTTCAAATGTTTTTATATCAGAAATATGGTTTTCTTTGACGTAAATTGCCTGAAAATAACATGGATGGTTCCTTACTACACTTTTTCCAAATGTAATGAATGACCACAAATTTGACCCAGTCTCTACAATGGGGCAGTGGGTCACACTATTGAAATGGTTTGAAAACAGTATCCTGACTAAACCTTGACATATACCTGTCTGTGATAATCCATCAACATATGTTCCCTTTGATTGTAACTATAGTCAAAATAATTAAAATTTTCTTTTCTTTTTAACTTAAAAAAAAAGGTTTTTTTTAATTAAATGACGTTTATTGACCATAAAATTCCAAAAGAAAGTGTAAAAGTTGCGGTAACTGTATGTACTGTATACTGCATATACACTGTATATATTGTGGTTTTCTTTCTTTCTTTCTTTCTTTCTTTCTTTCTCATTTTGTATGATGTTATTATTATTTTACATTGAGGTGAGGTTTAATGTAAACCCTGGATGGGTTTCTTGTCTCACCTGCACATTCTCTCCATTAAAAAAAGATATAGAATGTATTTGTAATGTTTTATGTGTGCGAACAAATAAAAATAAAATACAAATCAATGCATTTGAGAGTGTGCACACAGACTAGAATTTGCACAACTAAAACATACTAAGCAAATGCACAAACTGTACTGTCTAAATACACATTCCCCATTGGTAGTAATGTATAGCCATTTCGAAACAGTGACTTCCGCTCATTGCTGCAGCTCCAGATGGTTTAAAAGAACATTGACATTGTGTAATCTGAATACAGTTAAACCACTCACTATCATTTATCACTCAAAGTGTGTATAGTTTAGTGAAAGTTGTGAAGAGTGGAGGCCGAAAACATCCCACAGATTTCAAGCATTAGAGTGAATATTTATGTTAGATGGAAAAAAATTACATCTCACAATTTGAAACACATTCTCAGATTTTCACACATCAAACGTCAAGTTGAAAATGAGGCTTACGTTCAGAAACAAACAAAATGATTGTCTTGTCGAGAGGGCAGCCATATCATAGAGAACGATCTTTGACGTAGGAATTTTATCTGTCAGAGATTGCATGCCACCATCGGTCTGTTCTGTCACAGCACGTCACTCGACCGGCTGCTCTTCTGCCATCTCTTCTTTTAACTAACACTGATTCATCTCAACCCAGCACATATTTCCCACTGCTTTTAGTGAAGGAAAGGAGATTTGTTTGTCCTGTTTCCTCTCCTCCTGACTTTCTCAACCAACGTGACGAAGATTACCTGAGGCAGCCATTTAAAGTGCACGCAAATTGTCGACACGCCATGTGGAAATCACATGTGTAAAATACTTCCAACATCCTGAAGCTCTTAAAACTGGATCACATAAAGAAAAAAGTGCAATAAATTGAAGTGAACCGACTCTTTTACAGAGCTGTGTTTTGGAAAAACAACTTGGCGTGTGATGTCGCTAAGATCAGTGAAAACATTTAGCTTAATTGTAGCTTATTAGGAGCCCCCCCCCCCTTGCCACAAGGGATCTAACAAATCACATTGTGTGTCTTTGCAGATGCCTGGTCAACTCGACAGCAGCCTGAAGCCCAGAAAGAGGAAGATCACCTCTGAGGTCAAAAGCTCCAGAAAGGTTTGTATCACTAGATAAAGACAGCAGTGGTGTGCTGCTGTTAAACGAGTTGAGTTAAATGGTATTTTTCTTTAAACAGTTTATAAAAAGTCCATGTTTGATGTCTTTTCCTTCACTGATACACATAGAATCAAAGGATATTGATTATTAGTAAATACAGCGTCATCTTAACCCTGGTCTTTCTCTGTGTGTCGCAGGCGTCTGCTGCCAGGAGGAGATGTGTGAAAAGTTCAAAGACGCACTCGGCAGCAGAGAGCGAATCAGGAGTCAGTGGCTGTGGTACGGCGGCCGACCCTGTGGAGGGACGGTCTCGCATCAGCTGTGAATGTCACCAGTCTGCGGGCAGGAGGAGGTGCTCGGCGTCACCGGAGCTCGAGGGACCAGAGGGCAAAGAGAACGAGCTGAGGACGGGGCTGGATGCGGACGGCTGCAGCAGAGTGAACGGCTTCCAGGACAAACAGGAGCGGGAGGAGATGGATTACGAAGAAACCGGCAAAAACATCTTTCCAGACGACGACAGCAACCAGATTCTCCCCGTGGAGCAGTTCTTTGGAAACCTGGACGCTGTACAGGTGAGGCAGCTTGGTTTACCACAGTAACTGGATAACCTGTTGCATCCATCAATCAATCAATCAATCAATCAGACTTGATTTGTATAGGACTTCATACAAAGAATTTAACACAAAGTGCTTAACAGAATAAAAGCAATAACAAACAACCCCCTCATTCACACACACACACACACACATAAATAAATAAAGACAATAAAAATAAGACAATAATAACAAGAACTGAGGAAATGCTGAAGACTGGAGAGCAAAGAAAACCATAGTGATAAAATAATAAAACACTAAAACAGGAGATTTATTAAAATGAGTAAAACCAGAAATAAACGGTGGGATATTAAAAATCAAATAAAAATGAGACAAGATGGTGAAGATAGAATAATAAAATGTTAAAAGAGAGGAGATGTTTGGAAGTGAGTAAAACCAGTTAAAGATAAAAGTAGAAATAAACTAAATAACCAGAAATAAAAGTAAGGTATTAAAAGGAAAACAGTCCAGAAAATAATCATAGAACAAAAGGACACACCAGTAAAAGAGCTGAAAATATATAAATAAATAAATAAAATAGAAATAAAATGAAACCAGTTTTTGTAGAGGAAATTGTTCTGTGCTGACGGCCAGTGTGAAACAGGCTACACATCATTAAAGCAGCTCTCTCATCTGTCAAGTAAATATTCTTTATACTTGTGTATATATACCATAATACTGTTTCCTCACATGCTTCTGTGACGTTCAGATCTCAGCTCAGCCCCTGGTATGGAAATATGTTCTACCAGCGATATTTATAAATAATAATGATAATAATAATAATAATAACTTTTTATTTATATAGCACTTTTCAGAACAAAGTTACAAAGTGCTGTACAAACATCAAATCAAATCAAAGCAATAAAAGACAGAAGAGAGGCAATGTTTAAACAGTTGAATAAGTGTTCAATCTGCTGATGAAGTGTGTGTCATTTGGTCAAAAGCTCCAGAAGAAGTGTGTAAGTGGGCATTGAGATTGTTTTGTCAACTGCTGTTTGTGCCTTTTTTAGGATGAATTAAAATCACTTATCCAAAAAAACTACAAAACAAAGGTAAAGGTGCAGAAAGGAAAACCATGTGTTGCATCATTAAACTGACATTTTACTCTTTTATAAAAACACTGGCTGGATTTGTTATGTTCTTCACATCAGACTAAAGGCACTAAAAATGATCTTTGCTTTTAAGAATTAAGAGTAACGAGAAACAAGAGAGACATGAAAGAATTAAACCCTGATCTCGTTGAGGCTCAGAAACTGAAATAAATCTGACAGTTTAACAGTTCGATTTATTTCCAGGTCGAAATTGACGAAATGCCGAATTAACTCCACAATGAACTCTTTATGCTACAGGACTTTCCTCAGAGACCGTCAGCGACTTCTGCTCGCGCCCACCGGGAGAACAGGCGGCGACATTACTTCGCACGAGAGGACAGCGACGAAGAGGAGGTGGACTTCTGCAGCATGCAGCAGGACGACAGAGGAGGCACTTAGAGATGAGTAACTGCACTGATGACGGCTGAGGACTCACAGTGACGTCTGAGGAAAGACGTAAAATCTCTCAGCGGCACTTAGGAAAAAAATCAGCCAAATGAAACACGGCGTTCAATCAGTCCTCGTCTAATGTGCTGAACGTGTTAAAGTTCACCACTGGTAATTATGACTTTGTAAACAGTTTAGTTCTTGTTCTTTAAACTTGGGAATTGCACAAAAAAGCCAAATTGTTTTCCACCCATAACATCGGGCTGATGCCTCAATATTTCATGTGTTTTAAACAGCTGCAGTAATGAGATTAATATGGACACCTGTGAGGAACAATTGGAGGAGTGATTGTTTAATTATTTATTGTTAAATGTATGCTCACACCTCCCCGGGTTCAGTTGTAACAGGACTTAACCTGGACGGTGTGATGACAGCACTTTATATCGACCAATCAGTCCACAGAACATGAGATGCTTGAGATTGTCTTTGAGAAGTACCAAATACAGTGCTGGACTAAAGTCACAAACGTTAAAACTGTTTATTTTTTCCTCACAAATCTCCAAATTAAAAAGGTCTGAAATTCTAAATGTAAAAGTCACGTGTTGATAAAAGCAGCGTAAGAAAAGATTTCATGTGATGAAGGAGCAGGGAACACACACGTCAACAGTGTCAACATGAGCTCATTTAATACCACAAATGTCATGTCTGTAGTTTTCTTATTCACCAAGTGTCTAATATTCCTGTATATATATATATATATATATACACACACACATATCAATAATCAATGCAGCTAATCATCTTCCCTGACATGGTTCCTGTTGGGTTTATATTTGCAAAAAAATGACAAAATTACAAATGAAAAATTTATAGTAAAAAAACAAAAAAAAAAAACCTTGAGGTTTCTCGTCTAAATCAGAGTCACAGTCGTTGTACTCGAGTTTTTCTTCTGGCCGTCCAAGCAAATGTTTTATATATTTTTACTGCCTTATTTATGTAAAATGCTTTTCATATTCTTCTATGCAACTTTGTGACTGAGCGAATGCCTTGTACAGGAAACAGTCATTGTAATCAGCTCATGCGTTTTTCATCACCGGCCAACACAAAGAAGAAATAAACATTTTTCATGGTTTCAAGTCCGAGTAATTACTCAATGAGGTAAAAATAAAAAGGTGACGTCACCTTGTTGCTACAATGGAGATATTCACATGGTTCATCAGTGTAAGACATTATGTTGTCACAGCTCATACACACGGAAGCTGAGAGAGGCCATTTATTTTCCCATTATCTCAACATAACTGAGTTCTCTATATAATTCATCAGAGAATATTTCAGTCAAGGGCAGAAATCACAAAACTGTCTTGACTTTTCAAACAATATCAGATCAGTCCTCATCAGCTAATGAGTTGCTAAGGATTGTTGCTAAGGAGAAGTGTTATTGCGACTTACTGTATGAGGTTCAGTCAAAATCATTTTCTCCGGATAATTATCTCCTTATTTCGGGATAATAAAAAATCGTTTTATCCTGATAATATCTCGTTATCTTGATATAACAGGATAATTATCTCATTGCAGGATAACAAAAAAATAATTTTTCTCTTGATAATATCTCGTTAAGTCTAGCTTTATCTTGAGATAACAGGATGAAAAATAAATATTTGTGAGTATGCCCTTTTCTCGGCTTCTGTACATACAAATTAATTCATAAAAAAATATTCACTTCAAGCGGCTCTTCTTGCCATTGGTCGTCTGGTTTCTCTTGTTGGCGTCGCTGGCTCGTTTAAAAACCTTCTTGGCGTCACACTGCAGGTTGTGAGCTCCCTTCTTGTGGCACACGATGTGAACCAGCTTCAGGTTTTCCCTGGTGAACAGCAGGCGGTAGAAGTAGGTCAGGTTGACGTCGGCTGCCTTGTGATTTTGCAGAGCGTCCAGCAGAGCGGGAATGACCGTCCTCTTCTTTTCTATCCTGGACCCAAGAAGAAGAAGAAATGTTGGGTTTGTTCAAGAACTAGCTTCCTTATGCACAAGACATTTGAGTCATTAGAATAGTGATTGGTTTAAACTTAACGTCCTTGTGCAGATGTTTTAAGTTCACATTCAAATACTTACTGTAATATGCGAAAAGCCATGTATGAAAAACAGCCTCGAGTTTTGTGGAATAACCAAAAACATACAGAAAAACAAAGACATGCTAATGTGCATGATGTAAAATGCACGAAAGTGAATTCTATACAATATGAAATTAAACTATAGTGAAATTTCAGCTGTGCACTGAGAAGAAATGACAGTTATGAAGAATGAATTATACTTTTCATGTTCAGAAAATGTGCGATATGTGAGAAACTCCAGTATGTTCTTTACTTGAGTATTTTCTTAAGAAACTTGTGACTTTTGACTCCACTACATTTCTACGAAGCGCTCTTACTTTGAAGCAGAGCCTTAAGTCAGTGGAATAGATTTTATTTTATTTTGAAAAATGCGATAGACCATACACTATAAGGCAGAAGATTCTTCACAGAGACCATGTTCTGATCTGAAGTCTGTGTTTGAAGGTTTACAAATAAAGATTCATTTAGTTTGAAATGTTTGCTGCGTTTACCACGACCAGACTTCATCACTGACTAAAAACAATAAGAAATGTGAAAACAACAATGGCTCCCTTTTGTTGATTCAATGTGTTTTCATGTCCATGTCTACAGTCTGTGATCATTTTCTACAAGTTCAACAGTCAGTCAGTCCGCAGGTTGTTTCAGAGTCATTAGGTTCTGTAAATGTGGAAACGGTACAGAACATAAAAAATTTACTTTTGAATCCTTTAGTATTTTAAAACCAAGTTCTCCAGTAAAAATCTGACTGAGAAATATTTGACCTGGAGGATCTAAACTCTGACTTCAGTGATGGAGCTGTGAACTTTCTCCACCTCTGGATCTATATAATATATTTTTAGATTGCCCTTCGTGACTCAGCTGAAGCGCCCGACCTGTGGTCCAGGTTCCAGGTGCTGAAGACGATCCTGCTCTCTCGGCTGCCGTATGGGTTGATGGAGTGGAGGGACTTGCACACGTCCAGGTCAAATGATCCCTGAGGAAGAGGAAGGTGTAAATATGTTAAAAAGCTGCTCCCGCTCTTTCAGAATCACTCGTCAGTTTGGTCTGGTGGTCTACAGTATGTCCCGTGGTACCTGGCAGGTGAACCATCCCTCCTGAGTGCAGAGGCGAGCCGGCTCCTTCTCAGTCCTGTCAAAGTAAGAGCCGTTGTATCTGGCTGCTTTCAGCATTTCCACCAGGCTCTTTGATGTTTTCAAGAACTCGGCCCTGACTTTAGCTTTCTGGATGGTTTTGGTTGCGTCGTCCAACTGAGAAAAAAACACAAACAAACAATCCGTTAGATATCATGTCAGACGCCTGAGACCTGCGGAGATGAGCGTCAGTTCGTAGACCTACCTCCTTCATGTAACCTCGTATCCTGCTCTCACAGTTGAACTTCATGTAGGCGGACTTTGTCTTGAATCGAGCTTCGACACCTGAAATGAAACACTCACATTTTCCATCATCTTGAAGAACCAAATGTCTCAAGAGTTAAATCCTAAAGCCGGGATGTTCATTACACCTCACAGTATGAAAAGCAATCTGTTGCAACAAACTCTGCCTTTCTGGAAAAACAGCCAGAAATGTGAAGTTTGTCTTCAGTGTTGCTGCAGAGCAGAGCCACAGAGTCACTGCAGTCAAACAGACTGATCCTCTCGGGGGCATTGATGACTCTCTGTTAGCTGATGAGATACAGTTTCCCATCTTCCTTTAGAAGTTCATATTTTAACTTAAACATGGCAACAACTGAAGGAGGTTACTGTTTTAAGTGAAGTTGGCAGTTTTATCTCCAAAACTCTCTGCTGTGGTTGCAGTAATCTGTTCAGAATCTGCTGCTGAAACTGAGAAAACTACATTCGAATACCTCACTTTAATGTGAAAAGGATCTCCCTTAAAACAAGAACAGTTTTATTGCTATAACCAGAAACTGAGCAGATATTATGTTGTCGTCATGGCGGCGGTGACTCTACCTCTGAACCACTCCTCGTCCTCCTCTCTGCTCTCCAGCTCAGACCTGTCGTCCAGGTTCAGCAGCAGGTCACTCAGGATCTTACGCCTCTTCGGAGACTCCTCGTCAGACAGGAGCCCCTTCGCTGCTTTGATGATAGCGTCGGCGTGTCGGTCTGTGTCCAGTAACTCACCGATGTCATGCACAACTGAAATCAGGTATCAAGTATAAGAGAGAGAATCATTTCTGTTGATTTATTTTTTGTGTTGTTTCACCTACCCCCGCTCCACGTCTGCTCCCCATAGAGAAGAATGAGTTCGGTGTGGTCCGGCAGAGTCTGGAAGAATTCCTCCGTCACTTTTGTCCCATCAGAATACAAACAAACATGTGCACCAGGAAGTGGCAACTGGAAATATGGACAACATAATAATAAAATAATTATAATGGATGTTATTTAAATTCATGCCAAAATGTATAAATTTACATTGAGGAAACACTGAAGACGGGAAAGCAAAGATAATGATAGAGTGATAAAGATAAAATACTAAAACAGAGGAGATGTATTAAAGGGAGTAAAACCAGAAATAAAAGGGAGGATATTAAAAGTCAAATAAAAGTGAAGATAAAATAGGAAGGATAAAATAATAAAATGCTAAAAGAGAGGAGATGTTTGGAAGAAAGTAAAACCAGAAATAAAAGAAGAAATAAATAACCAGAAATAAAAATAGGGTATTCATAAAAATAATCCAGAAAATAATCATAGAATAAAAGGACATTGCTTAAAATATATTAATAAATAGAAAGATAAATAAATAAAATTGAATTAAAAGCCAGCCAAAGAGGTATGTCTTGACTTTGCTTCTAAAATGTATTTAAGTTATACATACAACATTATATGAACACTGTATATACTGTGATGCCTGTGTCACACAATCCTGCCCAGACGTGGGAAAGCACTATTTATTTTAATTTTTACAGTGTGCAGACGATGTGGAGACACATGATGACAGAATACAGTGATTATCTAATTATCTTGTGTTTTTTTTGTTTTTTTAGATTAAATGTTTCCTGTGACAGAGTCTGCTCTGATTAAATGGATTTATTTATCTTGTGTTCACACACAGGAGACTAGACGAGCAGATGATTGTCTTATACAAAAGGCTGCAGCTAGACTCCTGCTAGATACTGCTGGATCATATTACACCCATTTTATCCTCCTTACATTGGCCACCTGTGTCTTTTAGGATCCATTTTAAAATACTTTTAATCACTTATAAGACTCTGTCTGGTTTGTTATCGTCTTACATCTCAGAACGGCTCTCCCCTTATCATCAAACTCGCTTCCCCAGTTTAGGCAGCTTTTGATTCTTGATTTGAATATTTTTATCTTTGGTTTCTACTTTAGTTTTTTTTTCTTTTGGCTGCTTTATTGATTTTATTGCTTTAACACAGTATTTGTAATTTTGTAATTACACTTGTCTTGGTAATTGACACTTAGCCTTAATTCTCTTAATCTTTTATTGCTTTGTTTTGTTTTTATGTTTGTACAGCACTTGTAACTGTTTAGAAAAGTGCTATATAAATATAAAAGTTATCATTATTATTATTATTGTTATTATTATTATTATAGAATAGCTCCTACTGACAGAAACTAATTTAATCTGAAAGGTGCAACATATTTGAAATGTTCTTTACTGTTAATGTATCTGGGGTATGCACCTATCTGCCTCTCTGACCTGTTCATGTGCTGCTGTAATTCTCAGTTTCCCTCCTGTGTGTAAATGAAGTTAATCTTATTTAAATAGCAGAGAACTGTGACATGTCAGGAACATTATGTGACATAATGTGAAGATAACTTTATCTTTCAGTTTCGAGGTTGGTCACATCTAGTTCAAGGTGAATCTGACCGTGAACTAGACCAGAGAGGAGCCCTGTGTCGAGCCGCAGTTAATTCAATAGATAAAGTTACGTCTTCTTATTGAGAACAAATTAATATCAGCTTGAGCTGGTCACAAACAGCTGTGTGTTTATTTTGTTCACCAGCAGCGTTTAACTTCGCTCCTCGCTGAAGAGAAAGATGAGGATCGGGCGGTAAAGCTGTTAAAAACACGCGGGCTCACCTTTAATGTCTTGCAGCCTTTTTTAAGCAGCTCCTTCAGGTCTTTTGCTGCAACTCCATACTTCCTGTTTTCATTAAAACTCCTAATTTTCACGGGTTTACTTTTCCTGAAAAGCCCGAACATCTCACCGCTTCAGTTTGTAACTACCGCTTCCTCTTCCTCTTCCTCTTCAGACTGACTGCGCGGCGATGTGCTGCTGCCCTCTAGTGGTTGATGCGGGGCCATGGTTTCTGACAGTGAGAGTCTGCTGTGAACAGTGGTGGAGAGTATTCAGATTCATATTTTTTTTTACAAATAAAAGTGGCGATATTATACGAAAAGCGTAAAACATTCACTTAAAGAAATCAAGAATCTCTGTTTTTATAATATTTATAATTATCTTTTTTAATTCGTTTTTACACAGATCCGGTTTACTGTAATGGGGGACCTTTTAAGTTTAAATCGTAGATTGTATATAAAAATGGACGTCGACTCCGGGTCTGGAAAATTAAGCCAATGCGGAAGTGTCTTAAACTTGCCTTCTATCGAATGACCATCATGGTGACTCCACTGGTTGCAAAAAGAAGTATTATATATATTATCATACAAGTCATTGTGTCTATGTTTGGGAAGAGAAGATCTTCATGTGTGGACACTGCAGGTGAAGGTGGTGCAGGGCCTCCATCATTGCTGCAAGAGGTTGTAGGTGTCCCCAAAGATCCAGACCTTGGCTGGATGGAAAAAAACATTATAATAGAGAGAAATCATATCAATATATTATTGAGTATAGAGAAAAAGACAAAAGAAACAGCACTCTGATTAGATGATCACAGACATCTGAAAATACATTATTCCCTCAGCTTAGTTGTAATAAACAGTCTGCTGAACCGTTTTACATTAAATAACAATAGAATAGAAACTGTAAAAGAAGAAATGGATTTTTCAACATCTGTGTCGTGATACAGAGAAGAAAACTGTAAAACTCTGGTCAAGTTCCCACAGTGTGTGACACTGCAGTGACAAGGATCAAACTTTGTACTTGTCAGTGTCACACACTGGGAATGTTGCTCACTGAGTTTTAGTTTTCTGCTCTTTATCTCTGCACACAGATGTCAACAAAAGCATTTCTTCTTTCCCTGTGTCTTTGTTTAACCTCCCCACTGACCATTTGTTCAGTTTTGATTCAAATGTTTTAACAAATACAAACCTCTTTGCCACAAGCACAATTTGTTTTCACGTGCACAAACTTGAATTTGTCATGCAGATTTATTTGACAGGTTTACAAAGTTTGATTTCCAACTACAAACATTGGAATTATTTGTGAACATCACTTTATAAGCTCAAAATCATTTTGAGCCTAATTTGAACCGGGGGCTAAGTCGTCCATTCAAGCAAGGCCACAACTGGGGGGTGCGAGTTAGCCACCGGGCGGCAATCTCTTTCGATTTCCTTTAGTTATATTCTTAAATTGCATTCACGATGGTCTTAAAAACTCTTCAACACCAAGATGGAAAGTTGCAGTGCAAAGACTGGACACTGACTGTTTTCCCTGGTAAAAATGTTGTAAATAGTTTCCATTGGGCACAATGCTGTTACTGTTTGTAACAATTAATTTGTAATTTGTGCTTTCTTTTATTCTTGCAGCTCACATCATGTGCTGTGGATGAATGAGCATCGGTTGAGAAAACTAAAGTCATCACATGACTCACTATCACAGGGTGAGGAGCCGTGGAGAGAGATAATCAGTTTCACCTGAACCTCAAGTTCTATTAGTAAGTTATATGATAAGTTTATGGCGCTACAGTGACTCTTGAGGAACAAAGCGGTATTACAAGATGAGACAGACCGCTCAGGACATCTAGCACCAGTTACACAGCGAACCTTTCTAAGGCAATCTGCAATCATTTATTTCTGCCCCATTAACCCCATTACCATTCTGTTCAAAGGAATGCATTTATTAAGAGTTGCTGTATATTGGTTGAACTTTAAATAAAGGGCTGATTTGTTTTAGCATTTGTAAGTGTCCTTGATTTTTAGTTTTAATTCATATATATGTATTAGGTGAACCTGGATGAAATTAATGCAGTATAATGGAACAGGGCTGCAGTAAATCCTCCTTCATGAGGATTATAATGTTCAGTATTTACTGAATCCTATAAATGGGATGGACAAAATGTTAGGAACACCTCTCAGTATAGGGTTAGTTTATATACAGTGGTGTCCAAAAGTCTGAGACCACTTTCCCATGTAGCCTCACGTGTTGCTCCATAGCAGCTCTAGTATCGTTCAATTTCATTTACAAACCAGAATAAAAGGAGCCATTACAAACACTGAATGGAGTTCAGCAGGGAATCTCCTTAAGTCTCAAGTTGTCGTGTCTCACTTATTTATCCTAGTGAAATTCAGCAGAAAAATATGAGAAACAGCATTTCAAACAAAATAGAAACTAAAGTGAAGCTGAAATGGGAATCACAGTTTTGTCTCCTGAGCTGTAGAAGAGCAAAGTTTCTTCAGGAATTTCCTAGTTATGTGCCTGCAACGCAGGAGCCTTGAAGGCATATTATTATTCTGCATACTTATTCTTCTTAGTCATCTTCTGTATCGAAATTTCGGTGCGTAACTAGTCCAGCAGCTTTGAGAAAACTCAGACAATATAGATACTCTTAGCGATTTGAGTAACTATGGCAACATAAATGCTGGTAAAAGGCAAATAAATTCCCATAGAGAATGAATGAGGAGACGTCTTCAAAATGACCAAACCCAGCCCTCTTTGGAGCTCTACAGCTGCGTCATACTTCAACACACACACACACACAATTATTGACAGAAACACACAAACACCATCTCCATGATATGAATTAACCTTCAAAATAAAAGTCTCAATATGGTAAGAGGGAATTATTGGCTCTGTTGTAGAAAACCTTATGCAATTTATACTGCCAAACACAGAAGCAGACACTTTCAAAATAAGAGTGTCAAAAAGGTAAGAGGTAAGGTAGGTCACAAAAGTTCCATCTTAGAAGCTATTGTCTATATGGGGATGTAGTGGTGTTAGCTTTATTGCAGATCAACTTCTGTTAGGGCATGTACATGACTGTATATATGTCTTGCTGTGGTTGTGGGGACAAATTTGGGTTTGAAACCATCAGTGTGAGGTTATTGTGGCCAGTCGTGACAGCTTCAAAAGGCTTTTTGAGGGACACCTTCAGTGACTGAGGTCAGTGTCAGAATGAGTCTCTACGACATGAATGAAACTGAAAGAAACGTCCTTTGTGCAGATTGAAACGAGAGGAATGAAGTACACGCACCAAGCAGCAGGCACATTCAAAACTTCTTAGTGTAGTACAGCTCATGTACATTAGTTTTATTCATAACTCAATTGTTGTCATTGTAAAGGTGTTTAATAAATAAACCTATGATTAAATTGTACCGAGTATGTTTTTTTGATATTTACCATATACCTCATGATGAATCTAACAGGTCACTTTGGTGAATTAGTTTTCATTACTAAGTATTAAGACAAATTAGAAAAGCACAAACTCTAGTATCTATCTCTAGATCCTGTATTATCACTGTTGAAGGATAGACACATTTAAACATTTCTATCATTTTTGTTGTTGATTAAAGCAACATAGAAAGTCTTGTGATTAATTACAAATTCAGGAAAAACTTCAATGTGTTGTGATTTCTATACTGTGCTGCTGCTACTGTTAAAATTCATACCAGACACACTCCATAAAAACCATCAACAAGGAAAAGTTTCATAAAAAACTTTATTTCACATTAAAACTACATTAATTTCAACAATTTACACCACTGGAGAGGTGTACAAAAGAATGTAATGAATGGATGAATTAAATAATGTGTGATATTTACAATCAACTGTAACTGACAAATTATAAATAAAAGTTTGCATAATAAAGAGAGGTGGATAAATCGTACTTAGTAACAAGTATAAATTATAGTAGAAATGTAAAAATAATACTTCATAGCTAAGTGAGGACAGTGCAACAGTCTGACAGGTTGACTGGAAGCTATTGCAGCCGTTCATAAGTGATGGAGGTAAGTTCAGGAGCCGTTATTCATCATCAGAATCATCATGCAGAACCAATTTAAAACACAAGATTAGAATACGTTTTACACTGTGGTTTTACAGTTTAACGATAGCACACATGCTAACTTCAACAACAATAACATTGCAAGTTACTCCTCAAATATATGATACTTGCCAAATGTGTTTGTATGACCTACCGCATTCTTTTTTTTTCCTACCCGAGGTGGGCGAAAACCCTCCCCTACCCTGTCTCTGATTGGCTTAGCCTGATATTGTTACCCTAAACTCTAGCCAATCGTCACTCTTCATGCTTAACCATAAACGAGTACTAGCCAATCAGAGGCAGGATAGGGGCGGGTCTTTGCCCACCTCCGGGTGTGGGGAAAAAAAAGCAGACCTACATGGCAACCACAATACATCCATGATGGCAACGTGAGGATTACCATAGCAATTGATGCACCACGATGGGAAATACCAAATGAAAGGTTTCGTGTGTTAAAGACGACGTTTGAGAAATTCTGATTATATGTTCAGTTTTGGGGTGAAATAATTCATTACATAAACATCTTCCTTTTATGATTAATTCCTACTATTTGTATAAGGTTTTTACGGGACAATTATCCTGATGAAACTATTGATTTGCTAGAGCAACCCCTCTGCACCGAATGGTAGAATCCGATTTCAAAATGGCGACCGCGGGTTTGAATATCTAAACGGGTGGAAAAGATAATATTCTGTGTAATATTCGGTTGTCACTATATTTTTGATTTTGTATTTTTGAAATATTGTGCTAATGTTTCTATTAACTAGCTAATATGGTAAAGACAGACGACATAACCACCGTGGCGGACGGCTGGAAAGGAGTGTTTGACAGAAGCCGGCTGGTTCCTCCACCTAGCCAGACAGTCCGCCTGGCTGTGGATAGCCACTTCACCCAATCCCACGGCTTCCAGCTCAGCCTCAGCCGGGTCACTGCAGCTCACCTCCCGCAGGTGACAGCTCACAGATAACGCTAAATGCTCGGTAGCGATGCAGCTGTAACAGTTCTGCTAACGGCAGTAACACAGTGATGGTTGAACACATAAATACAGTGTAGGTTTTAAGTTGTTGAAGTCTTAGTCTTCTACCTTTGGACTGTAGACAAGGTATGATGAAGACTTATAAAAGTATCTCATCGCTATACTTTATGATCCATTTACATTTTGTCAAACGTACAATTAAGTTGACCCGTACAGAATATCATTATGAATCCTCTTTTGAATTCGGTTTAGAGCTAATCCACCACAGTTAATCTTAACATGCATATTTTGTTTCTTTCTAAGTGATGTACTCATGCAGAATTGAGGATTGGGATCTTGAGTGAAGATGTTTAGGTGGACTCATTCAAATGTTTTTCTGGGAGGTGGCAACGTTAAAGTGGAAGATATTAAAGTTTTACCTTTCCATACCACCAAATCTTTAAGGGCTGTGGATTAACTGATATGAATGTCTCCCCCCTTTTAGTCACAGGAGATCCCAGAGGTGGAACAAGACCTGACCTACCAGCTGCGAGCGACCCTGTTTGATAGAAATCACCAGCACTTCTTTGGGAAAACATGGAGAAGCCAACCCCAGGGGATGAAAAACAACAAGATATCCTTCAATGAGGTAACTTTTATTATGAAAGGCATTCCTCTGAAATAAGGCTAGAGGACTGCAGATGACATTTACTCTGTGTCACTTTATTTGAAGCTCCTCTGATGTTCATTTTATAAGCAGTGGATTGATGATCGTAAAGTAAAACCAGTGCCCATTCAAACATGAATTACATTAATCTAGCATAGCCATTATTTAATTACAACCAACTCAAAAGCTCCACCACTCACAGCAAAATGAGAAGCGACAGTTGTGATTGTGCTTCGCTCTTGAGAATGTTTCCAGCCTAAACAGGCAAGTGACATCCTGCCCTGATTGCCAGTAAGTGATTCCTTTTGCATTTGTTCCAGTTCATTTTCCTACACTGCAAATTGAATAACATCATATTTTTATGCGAAGCAACAACTTATGGAGTTGTGACAGAAGATTCTTCTGTAGAAAAGCGTGGATACAGTGCAAATCTGAATCAATTACAGACACAGTGAACTGCAGATCAGTTAATGATGACCAATGTTCAGTCAGTTTTACAGGGTTAAGAGGTTAATATACTCAAATGCATCACACAGGGAACCTGCCCCTGAAAAACTTAAGTATTTCTCTACACCATTAAATAGTCATGACCCAGTAAGCAACACTATTCATTTCAAGTTTAACAGTCACAAACTCGTCTTATCTCCTTCATCAGGACTCTGGTGGTGTGCTTTTATCAGATTTAGGTTACAGTGACTTTATACTTATACTACATTTTCTGGAAAGTTAATATAGACACCTTTGATGGATAAAATAACCAGACAACATATCAAAGAAGTTGTGGTTTGTGTGCCGCCGTGATTCCCCAAAACTGTGTCTATACTCTGACCCCATTCCTGATAGTGAGGAACTAATAGTAAAAAAGAGATTTTGTAAAGGCCATGCACAGTCACACAGTCGTTTTCACTTACTTCAGCTAATTAAACCACTACTCATTTTGAAGCTGGATGGAGCTATATACTAGAAATACATGAGGTCACCAACTGTGATAAATGAATCAGCTGTAACCTCTCTGAGTTTTAAACCTTCTCAGCCTGGTGCTAAAAATCTTCAGCACAGCAGCATGAATGTGCTTTCTGCAGTGATAGTTGACGATGTGTCCATTTGTAACTGAACAGGTAAAGTGGTGTTTTTTTGAAAGTCAGTGTCCTAGAGCTGTTGTGCTCAGCTTTGCATTTCTGTAATTTTTGGAGACTGTTGTATTTTTCTATTCAATCTCAACCTCCTCAGTTTCCACTCTCCCACTGAGCAGACATGCTCGAGAAAACCTGATTGATTTTCCACCAACCAGCTCGTACAGGGTACAAGAATTCAACATCTAATGGTCTCCATAGCTGTAATATTTCTGCCTCCTTTAAAGGAGCTACATGTAAGTTTTTGCTATTGCTATATTGCCAACATTAGCATTAACAGCTATTCACAGTGTCAGTGACAGTTGCACAAAAACTATGAGCAGCCCAGTGAATTTGAATTGGATTATTTGGTGTAACTACAACCAATTACACAGCAGCACACTGAGGCAGACGGCCAGGCCTGCCAGCCAAAATGTTATAATTTGTTCATTTTACAAGACTGAAGTTTTAGTGAATTCTCAGTATCGCACTTTGGTCAGTCTCAGCAGAAATCACTGTATTTATGCTTGAGCTTTACTCTGTGTTCTAGTTACTATTACTTAATAATACATCTGATGAATCAGTTAGTGGGTTAAAATAATGTTTCAATTGACAGGATAATTGATTTATAACTATTTAGATAATTGTTTTAATCATTTTAAGTCTTATCCAGTAAAACTCCTAAACATTTGGAGCTTTTTTTTTTTCAAATTCATATCATTTAAAATGAGCTTTTGATTTTGCACTGTTGATCAGCCAAATTTAACTGTTTGAAGACATCAGATCGGACTAACTTGTGAAAGGCATTGTTCATAATTAGTTTGACATTTTACAGCCTAAAATCAATAAAAATAGCGAGAGACAAATTAGTATATAACTGTTATTTGCAGCTGTAAATACATCTTTGTAGAAAGTCGCTTCTCTGCACTTACAGAAATCACTCTGAAGTCAACTGCTTGTTGTGAGCCTGAAGTGCAGCCCCTCCTGTGACGTGGTGATAATTTTAGTACTGTTTCCTCATCTCTTCACGTTTAGCTCCGGGTTATTGTCTTTATTAGACTGCTGCTCGGGATTGTGTTGCTGCAAACAGTGTTTGTCGGCTACATTATAATGATAAACAGGCAACTTCCAACCCTCAGAACATCAGTCCTTTATGGTTTGGAGGTAGATTTGGTGCAATTACATGTACTTGCTGTAGTATTTATTGTAATTTAACACCCTCTTTTGCAAGTGGTAATATGTCTGCTGTGGTTGAGCTGCTCTGAACAAACAGCAGTAAAGACTTACTGGTTGTTTTTCTCTGGATTTGAATTGTAATGTACTTAACTTAACCATGTGAGTCGGTGTGGGTGAAGTTGGCCTGAGTTTCGCAGAAGTCTTCAGTCTCACTTTGCCACTTTTTTCCATTTTTTTCCCGACCATTGTTCTTTGGGTCTTTTCTCCTCTGTAATCATCATTAGACAAACGGAACAAAGACACAATTTTTTTATGTCAAACTAGGTGATGTACTCTTTGAAAGATGAGCTTTGATGATGAAATTTCCTATTACTTCTGGGAAATCTGAAAATGTCGTTGCGACGAGGGACTTGAGATACAAAAGACAAAATATACAACACTGATATTGAAATATGCCACAAATAAGATTATCTTCATGGTATCCATTCAACTTGAAAATGATTTCTTTTGTTTAGCGAGGCAGCCTCTGGTCTCTGTGTCCATCCTGCTCCGGCTCCTGTACAGTAGTAAAGTAAAGTGAAGTTGAAGGCTTCAAACAGCTTTTGACATGTGACTGTGCAGTCCAGAGTTTTTCTAGTCAGGTGTGTGGAGAGGAGATCTAACCAGGCAAAACCTATGGCACCTGACTAGTATTTTAAAAACTGATGTTTCTGCCGTGGCTCATGCAAATGTGTGACACTTTAAAGAACTGTATCTATTTGCGTCCTATTTGTAGCCTAAACCCATTTTTTAGCTGTTAAATTATTGATTTAATCTATTATGTTTTAGTCTACAAAATCAGGTTGATACCAGTGGTGAGAAAGAAGTACTCAAAAACTAAAAGTAAGACCAGAGTTAGACCTGCAAGAGCAGAAACATCTTGTAAATAGTAAAGAGGTTTTAATTATTTATTCTAAAAGTCAAATGCATTGATAATGTCCATATTTTATTTAGCATTCTTCTATACTTTATACAGCGACTATAGAAATTAAATTCTTTGAGATATAAGATATAAAAAAACATCATATTTCTTTTAATTTATGATGAATTTAACTTGTAAACATAAAGTGTAATTGTAAACTTGTAAACTTGTAGCCAAGTGGCAACCTGGGCATAATTTAAAATGGATGACTTGCTGTTTCTTGAACATAAAGAAATGCACATAGAAACACATTTCTTAAAACAAACATACCTAAGTCATTTAGGTATTAATGATATTGCTGCAGATCTGATCACAACTGACTTTATTGACTAACGTGTCGCATCCTGACCATCGGAGCACAAAACGTTCATGGTTAAAGTTTGATTATATTCATTTGGATCACAGTGCGAACCGAACTGTACATCCTGTACTGAAGGGCGCGGCACAAATACATGTACCGTTACATCCCTAATATATATAAACCATCCAGTGAGCCCTTATTGTCCTCAGGAAACACAGAACAAGGGCAAGAAGACATTACATTTTCCTTGGAGTTAGACGTGGATGTTTTTCCTAGAAAGGAGGAAAAATCAGAGAACAAACAAGGGCTTTTACTGCCCTTTTGTTCATATGCATAAATTCACTTCATTTGGCAGCCATCTTTCATTCAGCCTCTCTTATCTTACCTCCTTCTATGATAATCAAAAGCCAGAGGTCAGGATCAAAAGGAAACAAACAGAAAGGCAGCTCCACTGGCGGCAGCGTTTTGGCATCAACACTTCAGGAGGCATTCCTGCTATCACACGGCTTTAACATCGATCCTGCAGTTGACAGATGTGCTCTCTGTGCAGTGTCTGCCAGAGGAGTTTACTTATAAACGGGTCATCAGTTGCGAACTACAAAACGTACCCCAAAGTAGTCTTATCGCTTGAAAATTCGTCACCCAGCGACATGTTTACCATCCCCTCTGAATCGTTCTGTTAGTTTTGAACAGATATGTGGGGAGCAGCTGGATGTCTGTGTTCTCTCTAAATCAAACGTCTGACGGTGTCTGTACGTCCCGGTTGGAGGCCGCTCACCCACCGGTTTATGATGGTGTCAGAGTCCTGCAGCCTCCAGTGTGGAAGATGGCTGAGCTGCTTACAGTGTGAGCTGTTTTTTTGAGAAAGTCCTTTTTTAATGGAAAGAATACCGCAAGCTGTAGCTGGCTGTTAAATGCAGAGTGTTGCGTAAGTCTTTTATTTATTTTTTTATTTTTTTATTTTTTTACAGCGACACCAATGAGTCACAGCTATGGCACATTCTGATTTCCAGTTCTGTCACCATCTGTTTTCTCCCCTTTCCTCCGCTTGATGTTCTTTTGATCGAACAATCTCGCGCAGTGTACGGCCTCACTTTGATCCACCATTATAGTTATAGCCTGTATTCAAACCCACTTGGTATCCCAATAAGCATCCAAATCCCATTATCCGTCCAGGGTAATAATATAAACCACATCATATCCTATCAGGATGATAAAGTGGGCCTGGCCCTCTCTGTGTCGTGCCGCAAGAGCTGCACCAGCTTTTTTATTGGATTTGGCCCGATGCACTCGCATTTATGCTGCTGTTTATGAGTGGCAAATTGCTGTTTGATATCCAAATAATGTCAGAGGGGGTATCCTCTCCTCAGATACAGGAGTGCAGGGAAAATTGCAAGGCCCCCACCGCCCCACCCTCACTCAGCCATGATGG